AGTAGTTTGGTCTGAAAATATTTAAAATCCAAAAGACAGAATTAGAGGGCAGAGGGCAGCAATGAAGTAATGACTTTGTCTTGGACACTGAAAGCAAGGGGAAGAAAAAAGATCTGGAGAGACATTACAGCAAATTAGTACATGGTGAATTATTTATAGAGAGAAAAGGAGATACTAGAAAATAGTAGAATATTTTCAGTCCTGCCCATGCTGGGATTTATTGACACTGCATTACCATGTTAGAGGGAGAGTTAGGAAGGTTTGGATGGAACAATCTAAATTTTACAGGAGTGGAGTCAGGGTTGGATCCTACTACAGAAATCTTCCACTATCTGAAACTGTTTCTCCTTGTAAGATGTGAGGAGGCTTCACAGAATGTACCAGAGAACTGATGAAAGAATCTAGAGGTGTTTGGTTTTCAGTGAAGAAGCATGTTTTCCCCAGCTCCATTTTTACTTATTCCAGTTTTGTTACTGTTAACACAGTCCTCAAATTCCTAAGACTGTTTGGGGTAGGGAAAAGGGGAGGTGTGGAGTGCTTTTGTTCCTTGTGTTTGTTTTGTTTGCTGTGGGGTAGCTGAAAAATAAATGCTTGTTGATAGTTATAGCATAGTCCCTTGGGCATTTAAGGATATTTTCTATATTAGTACTGCCCTTCACCACAGCGTTAGAATTCCCCATCTGCTCCTGCTCTCCCACACAGACATGTGCCTTCTTTCTCTTTCCATGTTCCAACAGGAATTACAGAAGCTGGAAAAGGAAAGGGAGTTCACTGTCTTCAAGGAGATACTGCCACTCTACCACCACCCCTTGTATTGGTTACCTAACTCTAGCAAGCCAACAAAATGCTGAATTTCCAGTATAATGTCAAAAGGGCTTGTTTTGCTTTATGTCCTTTCTACAGTTGAAAAGCAGCTTTCCTTTAGCATGTTTAGATCTTTTCACACAAAGCTTATGGAGCCTAATTTGATCCTGTTAATCTTTTTCTTGGTAACCCATAGGAAATCACAGCTGCACTACTAAAAACACACAGTTTATCCACAATCACTGGGTCTGGGCAGCCCACAGCGTTCCAAAGTTCAAAGTTTAAAACAGACACGCCAGTCCTTCCTAATTCCTTGTGTTGAAGCACACAACACCATAAAGTCTAAATTGCTGCTGCTGCAAGTTTGTGCTGAGCTTGGGCCTGTGTTGATGTGAGACTACAGCCCCTCCTGCCCCATGGTTTTAACAGAAAGGTAGGTCCTGGCAGCTCAATAACCGTGAGGTGAAGTAGGACAAACAAGTCTAACAGTGCTCATGAAAAACTCATCTGGTTACTTACCCATTCCTTTTAAATTAAAGTAAATAATGTTAAGGATTTTTTTAAAAATTTTTAATATTTTTGCAACTGAGTGTCACCCCTCCTTTTTGTTTCTTCATTGCCTATGTGGGAACACTAACACATTTGTATAAGGATAAACTGGGAAGTCTGTGGTTTCCAGCATGCACATTTTGAATAATATTTATACAGACTATTCTTTAATGTGCCATATAAATATTTATCATATGCTGTAGCTTTTTGATCATAACTGCTTGTTTGAAAAGCCATTCTGTCCCTGCTGTGATTTGCAGGCCATTGCTGGTTTAGTACTTGTAGGGAATTTTGGCTTCTTGTCCTCACTTAGCGAGGCTTGAATTCTGCAGTGGACAGACAAGGCTGTATTGCAGTTCTGGAGGCCTTTTTTTCTTGTCTGCAAGGAGCCAGGCTTCCTGAGTTTAGATACTTCAGGGATTTAGAAGGTACTGTCTTCACTGCCTTCCACCCCTTGGAAGTCCATGAACATGCATCATTATTGTGCTTGATGAACTGACCTGTCTGACTGGACTTTCAGGACATTTTATTTCAGTAATTTTTCTGGTTCATTTTTCCTTATGATTGTATTGCCTGCAGAAGCTAAGAATCCAGCAGATAAAAAATCCAAACTGTTTTATTTGCACAACAGTTTTCTTTTCACATGGCAATGAAGGTTGGTGTACAAATGCCAAAGCAAGAAGCTTGTGCAGGGACCTTCTGCTGCCCCTGAACTCCATTAAAAAGTTCTTTCAGCTCCGATTTTGGAGCTTCCTCTTGTACCAAAGGAAACTTTTGGAAACAAAATAGAATGACAACATTCCTCTTTAAAATTCTTATCACTGTACTTCGGCTAAATATTTTCCATCAGCTTCTCTGCTGAGTTCTTAGGTTCTCAAGAAATACCCTTGGGCAGAGTCCATAATTGCTGACATTTATGACCGGGAGATGACAGTGCTTTTTGTGGATGGGGTTGATAAGTAGGTGGCATAGCAAGTGTTTGGTATTCCAAAAAAACCCTTGGCATCAAATTATGTTTTTGCAAGCAGATCAGATCCTGTTGCAGAGACACTTTACTTTGAACAGCCTCTGTAACTTAGTGCCTGCTGTTCTTGAGGAAGGATTAATATTTACTTTTAGCCTTTTTTTTTAATGAGATATTGAGTGCTGCTTTGTGCATCTAGGTGAGCTTTATTCAGAAAGAGACCAATTAAAATAAGTTTGGGGTTCTTGCTTTTGTACTGTCACTTAACTCTTTCCTGTTCCCACTGACTGACAGCAGAAAAATGATGGATGTGCAAAGGTTGATATGCACTGCTCAAGCACACAAACAAACTCTGCTTCCTGCCCAGTCACTCACACAGGCACATCCTGGTTGCTTAGTAAGGAGAAAAAAGGAAAGTAAACATTACATGGGCAGATTGGGTTCCAGGTTTCAAATGTTTGTGGGAAGAATCCAATGCAAAGCCATAATTTCAAGTGCTGAGTAGGAGGTACTGTGAGCTTAATTCTCTAACATCTGCTAAGCTTGTTCTCTAAGTAGCAAAAACACATTAATGAGCTAAAATCAAGGCTGCCATACAAGGAAGAGAAATTTGGAGTAATATTGTGTGTGAGCAGGAGGCAGGATATAAAATACCCCTTTTGCTATTTGTATTTTGTGAAAAGCAAGTAAGAAGGATTTGCCTGTGTTTAAAAAAAAAAAGAATCTGGTTTGCAGCTTGTGGTTTATTCTCAACTTTTTGTGAGTCAGCAGCTAAAGGCAGAGCCGAAATAGGGGAAAAACAGGGAAATTCGTGAGATAGTATCAGGAACTGTATTATGCAATGCCTTTGTAGTAAAATTTCTCACAAGGAACTTGCAGCACCTGCAGCCAGCCTTTGGAGCTTTGGGGAGGTGGATTGCAAAATGAAGAAGTAAATACCATGTTGGAAAGAATGTCTTAAAACTGCTTTTCCAGCTGAGGACTAAGAGGGAGAAGCTGAGTGCTGTCACCCGCAGGTGACAGATGCAGTATTAATCACCCGTAGCAGCAGAGTTGTCCTCTCTGGCAGAGGGATTGGCTTTTGTTCCTCTGACCAGGTCACAGAGCCAGGGCCAAGAAAATAAAGCTGGCTTTCTTGCCAATATTCCTAGGTGTTAGACTCATGGCACACCATTATTTTTAGCTGATTGCTCATCGCTTGGACATATGACCTTGCTTAACGAGATTAGTGCGTGTTGCACCTAATCTGCTGGGCAGAACCAGCATGCTGGCAGGCAGCAGCCAGGATTTCCAGCAGGACCACAATATGCTCTGTAGCTTGGAGTTTTTTCTACTTTCTGACAGTATTAGAAGCTGATGATCTGTGCAGCTACTCTGGTGACCCTGCACGGTGTGAGCAGAGTGCGGTGTGGTGACTGCATTGGTCTGTACCAGGGACAGAACTCCCTCGTGCTGGCCAAGCAAAGAACAAAACCATGGACCCTGGACCCAGCAGTGGGATCTGGGCATAAAGTGCCAGACTGAAGCAGGAAAAAATGATTGTGTGATCACAGAGCTCCACAGACTGACCACATTTCCATGAGCTGTTTAAGGGGTGGGAAGAAGGGAAGCCTCAGTTGGTTTCTTCAGCCATGACATTGTTTTATGTCATTTTCAGTGCAAATTAAACTTTGTCCTAATGAATTATTATCCAAAATTTCCCAAGATAGGGGGCTTCTTTTTTTCTTCTCTATTTCACCTGCTGCCTCTAACCCTCAATGATTGTAGATTTGTGATATCCATCAGCAGCAGTGGTTACAAGCCAGCCATGGATGTGGCAGACACATACATTGTGCCTGTAGATCTTGACCTGCACTCAGTGTTATTATTAAGAGAAAAAAATTAATTTGAAATGTGAATAATCATATTTGGTTAATCAGGACTTTCAAAATCTTTCCCCCTTTGTCTATATTCCTCCCTCTAACCACCCCATATGCCATATCCAGAAATTATCCAGGTCACTTCTTTAGGAGAAGTGGGCTGTTTTTAAGTAGAGCCATTTTAATGCTCTGTAAATACCATGTGTTTTAAATACCAATTTATCCATTCATTTTCTGAATATCAGAAGCTATGTGTCAGCTGAGTTGCATGTGTTTCAGGGATGTAAAAGGTTCATACAAGCATTAAACGTGGTACTTGTCTGACGTTTCAAATACTTCTATCAGCTCTTAGCATTCTCACAGCTTGATTAAAATGTAAATGTTAACTATTAATTAAGAACAAGCTGTGAGAAATTAGGAATAGTGTATTTGTCACTGTATTAAATGTCAAATAGTTAATATAGTGAAATAAGCAACTCATTGTGAATAATTAAATCAATTAACTTAACCTCACTTTGTTCTTGTAGGATGTCAGAGTAGGCAGAGATTTCACACCATGCTCTCACAGCTCAACACATTTTCAGAAAATTATTTTCTGAGTCTTTAAAGCGGTGTGAATTGATGGTAGAGAGCTCTTGGAAACTTTATTTATTCTTTTTTTCATCTGGGTAACATGTACCTGACTGTCACATAGTTACTTTATAATTACCAGCATCACAACACAGGTGGGATGTTTGGCTTGATGGGAGGCAGCAGCTCTTGGCACTTTTTCCATCAGTCATTTTATCTGCTTTTAACCCCTTTTTTTTCTTTTCCTTCAACAGGTTTTATTAAAAATGCCGGGTGAGAAGCAGACTGCAGTGAAATACTACGTCGGAGTTGACGTGGGCTCAGCCAGCGTTCGTGCGGCTCTGGTGGACGGGTTTGGGACGGTGGTGGCACATGCAGAACAACCCATCCAGATCTGGGAGCCCCGGCCAGACCACTATGAGCAATCCTCTGCAGACATCTGGGCTGCCTGCTGCTCTGTCACAAAGGTGGGCAAGGACAAAATGAAGGATTTGTATTGCAGGTGGTTCTACAGATTTTGAATGTTCACGGTCCTGCAGTCCCCATGCCTGTCACTTCCACTCGGGTCTGTTTGTGCTGTGTAACTTGTGACCATTAGAGGCACCTTGAGACTGATGTAGCCTCACAAATGTCTGTTTTACTGGTGAGGATTTGAGGGCCAGAGTGAAAAAAGTCATGCTACAACTGCAAATAGAATCAGAGACATTTTGTGCTGTTACTGCAGAGGGAGGATTTACCCACTGTCTTCAAGTCTCACATCTGTGAGCTTTGTTTAGCTGGTGTATGCTATGCCCACAAGACAGTTCTTGGAGGAGTCAAGGTTGCTCAGAACCTGGCAGTGCATATATCTTGAGATCTGCTTTGGGCTGCTCTGGGGTCATAAAGAAGTATTTATTGTAGAGAAATTGAAATCTGGTTTGTGGATGGCCCCTAAAGTAACACTTTTTATCCTCATTATAAGAGGTTCCAGTATTGTAAGACCAAAATAAATATCTGTGGATAGTATCAAACATAAAACCAGATTGAAATAGACTTTACTACAGGGGAAAATTTGTGCCTTCTGATCCAGGGCTCTGTCTGTACATGCTGGAGGTAAAGGTAAATTAGAGACCTTGCTTGCAGTGCACACAGGGCCATTTCATCTTCCTCACTACAGCCCTTGCCTTCTGCATGTTCTAAGGTTGGCTTTTTAAATATTCATGATTCGCTTGGTAATTTGCAGATGGACTGTTCACCCATTGTCTTGTTATTGATCAGTCTTTTCAATCATTAATGAGCTTGGCTCTGCAGAAATGCCCTGAGATGGAGCAGAGGGGGTGAGTGGATGGAAGGAAAAGAAGGGAGTGGCAGGAGTGATAGGGAAAAACAGCTTGACGTTAAAGCAGGACAAGTCTTCCTCTGCTTATTTGATTTTTCTCTGAGTGGCTTTGTTCTTGCTCTGGACCTCTGTAAATGCAATCTCTTATATTTAAGCAATAAAGTGGTCTCAGAAACTGCAGTTCTACAGAGCCAGTAAGAGACTGGCACTCTGCAAGTCTACTGAAAGTCTTTCCTTATAGTACTAATTAAAATAATGATATTTTTATTGTTGCTGAGAAGTGGCAATTTATTACCGTGCTACATTTTAGGTGTCTTGCAACCTCATTTGGCACTTAATCCTTGAGGGTGTTGTGTTTTTTTTTCCAGTGCTGCTGGAAGCCATGAGGTTCAGGCATTTTGGGGCAATGGTTTGGTTTTTTTTTTTTTGAAAACCTTCCAAAAAATGTGCTGTTCATGCTCTTGGTAGCTGAACAGAGGTGTGCATTGCAGAAGTGTTATCGAGGCTACAGGTTTTGACCAACTTTAGTTTTGGGACCCTTCAGTATTGCAAGACAAACACAATTTTACCAAAGCAATTCTGGAAGATTGTTGCTTCCACAAGCAGGAATTCAGTGAAGTAACTGATGGAAACACTTGGTCCTAATCCTGGTCCATATTTCATATCCAGTTCAGCTCCGAGCTTTAGAAAAGAGAAAATTCACATTGCAAGTTTTCTGCTACCTTTTTTTACTGATATTTTTGTGCTTCCTACTTTTATCCAGGACTGTGGATAAAGACCTCTGAATTTGGATTTGAAACACAAAGAATTTCTGGTAATTTGATGGGCTTTTGATTCAAAGTTTTAAAGAACACTGAATTTAGGAAATTTCAGAGTTTGAGCTAACTTGTAGCTCCTTTTGTTTACTCGGTAGTTCACATGGCACTTGCACATGCATGGATATATTTGTATTCCTGTGTGTTTCGTGTATTTTCAGGAAGTTGTCCGTGCAGTGGATGCCAGCCAGATCCGAGGGCTTGGGTTTGATGCTACCTGTTCCCTTGTTGTGGTGGATAAACAGTTGCAGCCTTTGGCAGTCAACTCTGAAGGTATGGCTCCACACAAAATGTGGTGCTGCTGTGTGAGTTTTACCACTGATGGGAGGGAACTTTCCTTGTCCTCCAAATGCCAAGTGGTGGGGCTGACTCTTGGAGATGGAAATGACACAAACTCTTTTTTATAAGAGGATTTTTTTCCCTGGTTTTATTGTTTTAATTTTACTGCAAAATTATATCTGAGATGAGAATTACTTACTTTGGTTAAATATTTGGCATCCTAAGATGACATTAATTCATCTTGGCACTGAGAAATTGCTTCGTAGGGAAATCCATGCTCATTTTTCTTTTCGGCATGTTTTCTTCTCCTTCAGACTGTACTGCTCACTGGCTAAAGGAATGTTAAAAATGTTAGTGTAGTCTAACTGCTTGCTCTGTCATGGAGCTGCAGGCAAGTTTAGTTTCTGTATTGTATTATACTAGTGTTCTTTCTTTGTCTAGGACAGTGCTAAACATCAGAAACAGTCTGTGACCTTTATCTAAAAATCTGGGGGAGTTTTCATTAATTTTTGGGTAGATGATTTAGAAGAATCACAAAAAGCCTGTGCTGCACTTCTTTTACCCAGTGAATTCCACTTAAGATTAGGTGTGTGCTATATCAGCAGTTACAAAGACATAATCATAATTCTGTGTATGCTCCCCTTCTATTCTCAGATGTGTTTGTCATCTCCTATCCTTCTCAAAAAACCAGCTTTGCCCCCAAAATGTCCTTCTCTAAATTTAGATTTGATTATTTATTTTTCAGTTTGAGAGTCTCTTACAATCTGTTCAATGCCTAATGATGTCTGGGGTTATTTTGGGTCTAATGAGTCAAATTCAGTTCTCATTTTTTGTGCTCTGATATCCCCAAGAACTTTGAGTTTACACAGTGGTGGTGCTAAACAAGACAAGAATTCACTCAATACTGTAATGGTGTGAAGAGTCTTGCACTGGTGGTGCTTCAGGCAGTTTCACAATTCTGAGTTGTATTTCAATCAATTTTAGAAATACTGATGTGCCTCACACTTCTGCCTTGTTTTGGACTATGTTTTCAAGATGATGCTCGATTGGCTGTGCTGTGGAGTGTGCAGTGTACTTAGCCAGAGAGGAATCTGCAGTGTCACCTGGATTACTGTTCTCTCTGTCTGGCAGGTCCTCTGGAGGTTAATTTGGATAAAATGTTCTTTGCTTCTTGTTCTCATTTGTGTGTGATGCAGACTTGCCAAATGCTTTTTCCTTGCACATCCAAAATAAAAGCATTTCAGCAAATTACCCCCCTTGAAACAGTATTTCGGAAAGGAATTAGGGATGGTTCTTCTCGTAACCATAGAAGAAGAAAGAGAATCCCTGTAGCTGATTGAGTTAATTTCAATTAATGACATAATTGTTCAGATCTTGTCACATTTTAGTTTTTGGTCACCAAAATGTTCCTTTGTTGTTTTAACTAAATATGTGTACTTTGTCAGGAAGTTTGGGCTCTTGGAATGAAATACAAGAGACCATGGTGTTTCACAGTTCCTGGATGCTCATAAGCCTGACTGGTTTCAGACAGCATTCTCAGTGCTCAGCATGTCCTAAAGTTGGCTCAGAGGGCTAAAATTTTACTTTTGGATACCCACTGTGAATCATTAACACAAAAAGAATTTGAGTTTTCAGTGTAGAAGTGAAAGTGAAAAGCAGTTTAGAGCCTAGTAACTTACAGTGTTGAGCTGGGGTTAAACCAGAGCTAAAATAACTTTTTTTTCTGTTTTTCCCCCAAGGACAGAACCATAGGAATGTGATCATGTGGATGGACCATCGTGCAGCGAGCCAAGTCAAGCGCATCAATGCCACCCAGCACAGAGTTCTGAACTATGTAGGGGGAGCCATGTCTGTGGAAATGCAGCCACCTAAATTGCTCTGGATAAAGGAAGTGAGTACATTTAACACTGGTACATTTTTACTAGTGATTTGTGCCTTTGTTAATTCCTGAGAATGGGATTTCTAAAACGAAAGTCTTCAGTCTTAGCATTGAGCACCAAGGTGTGCAGAATAAGGTCAGACTTAAGCTGTGATTTAAACCTTTTGAGGTTCTTTCTTCCTCTTAATTTTGTAGAAATATATTTGATTTTATTGAAATTGAGTGTTTCCTGAGAGAAACATTCCATACGTCTTCCTTATCTAAGATTAGATATACATACAAATAGAGGTACAGATAATAAATGAAGTATCCTAGGATTTAGTTATGGAGGTGTATTTCCTACTCCAGCTGGAGCCTGGAGTGCCAGAGGAGTGTCTTTGGGGCATCCAGCAGTGCAGGGTGTGATGGCCTTGGCTGCTGGTAGAGGAACTCTCCACTTCCAGTTTCAGTTTAGCTCTGTCCCATCAGCAGGAATAAACCATGTGTAGAGGGAAGGTGCCCTGTGTGTAATGTGGAGCTCTACCTCTGTCTCCTGTCTTTAAATTTGGTGTGTTACAATGATCTATGGCCTCTTCATAACAACTGTCAGATAAAAGGAGGGACACTTGCCACTTGAAATTTCTATAACCTCCTCCAGCCTGGCCTTTTACATTTGGCCTCAGTGATGCTCACTGTCATTTTAACAAAGCCCAAATGTAAATTACTTGCTGCCAGTTTCAAGCACTCAAATTCTGTCCTTACAAACATGAGACATTATATTATAACAAGGTGCAGATTGGGGAAAGTCAAAGGAATTAACTGGTAGAAGCAGGTACTGACAGATTAATAATAATAGAGGGTAATGAATGTTGATAATGATACATGAATATCCATCTCCTAGTTCTTCCCTTCTCATACATTAGTCATTTTATAAATAATAAAATGTAAGCTGCAAAAGCATTAAATGAATCCTTTGCATTTAAAGCATTTTTATATTGCAAGGTCTGGAATATCAGCACCTGGCTGCTCAGGAAATCCAGATTATGGGGTGTCCAAATGTGGTCACGTGGAGGTGTGAGTCTGCTGTGACCTCAAAGCCCTGTGCACGATTGCTGTGGTGTAAAGGGGAGAGCATTGCAGGGCTTGTTCCCTTCCTGAGCCACTGGGTGGGACACAGGATTCTCCTGAGCCCAGGTGCCAGCCAGCAGCAGGGATTTCCTGGCAGAAGGGTGGTACAGAACAGGCTTGCTCACCTGTCCCTTTTCAGCTCCTGACATACCAGCTAAGGAGATTATTGTCCTTAAGAGAGGGTTTTTTACCTCAGTGTCTGCCTGCTGAGCTGCCCACGCGACAATTCCTGTGCTCTGAGTGCTCTGGGCATGACTCACCATTAAACTGCTTAAGCTTGCCCTGCTTAACTTGGGCACCTCAGCACCCACAGAAGTACCTCAGCTGCTCAGGAGCAGTAACACTCATCCTTGGAGGGGGCTGTAATCTGCTGAGATTTGGCTAAACCTTTCAGCTCTGGAGAGGTGTGAGTGGTTTTACTGCTTCTGTACTCCTTGCAAAGTAGGAGGGGGAAAGGAATTAAATGAAGAGGGAGGATTTCTTTTCAGTGCCAGGCACAGCAATTCATCCATGGCTTACTTGACATCAGGGCTGTCAGCAAAGGGTCAGGCTCTAAGAACTCAAACACAGCCTCATCTAATGCAAGTGTCCTCACTTTTTGCCAAGGAAGGTGAATCTTACAACAACTTTGAAAGTCAGGTTGTTCAGATGAAACCTACAACGGCAGTTTCCACATCTGTTGTTTCTCAGCGGACTGTCTTCAAGTGGGCTACAAATATAAATTATTTAAGTCTCTTCAGATTCTTTGTTATCAATATTTTATATATCAATAAACTGTGACACAGGTATTACAGGTGCGGTTAGGAAAAAAAACAGAATGGTATTTAATGTGTTCTTCCTGTTTTTTGAGTTGTATCATCTTTATTTTTTGTGTTTATTGTATTTCCCAATGGCAGAGTGAGATTTTGATCTAGCTCACACACCACAGGGAAAATATACTTTATATTCTGACTACAGGATTATTTCTTAAGCCAGTGATAATGCACAAGCTGGAAAAAAGGAAGCTTAGTTTTCAAATCTCATGGGAGAATTGCAAGATTAGCAGATAGAAAGACACATTTTAGCTTTATTTTATCCTTTTTTTACTATCTGAGGGCTTTGCAAAGTTGAAACTGAAATTCCCATTGTGCTTCTACTTAATTATGATAACTGGTGTTCAGAAAATGAGTGCACTGTACCTGGTTTGACCCGGTTACTGCCTGGGAAAGTTTTACACAGTGTTCCCCACACTGTGCCTGGCTGTGATTGTGGTTTTGATCTCTCCAGCTTTCCTGACTATTGAGTGTAGTGAGATGGGTTATTTTTTTCCTTTTCTTCCTTATTCCTTTCTCAATATTCCTCCCTAATGTCACATACCTGACAGCATCCCAGGAAGTTAAGGCAAAAACAGTGGATTGGGCACATTCTGCTATGTCTGACCATGATCAAAACTGGCTAAACCAAAGTGTATCCAGAAGCTACTCTGAGCCTTTGTTCCTTTGGTTGGCATCATGTTTCTGGAAAGTTTTTGATCAGAAAGCTTGACATGCCTGCAACACAGGGATGTTTGTGAAGAAAACAAAGCAGAGCAAAACCCACAGCCAGACACTTTGCACAGTCATGCTCCAGGTCAGCACGTACACCCTAGTATATGAAGAATCACTGTTGATTTTTGCTTTGAATTCTCTGGACCTTATTTTGAACTCCCCAGGAATTTAATGTTTCTGCTATTAAATGTTTTTGCTGTTTTCCCTCTGTACATCTTTGCCTGGGATTGGTGCTGTGCACATTCCACAGCTGCTTGCATTGGTGTGGGTTTTGCAGAGATAGTGCAGTGGGGAAAAGTACTGCTTTACATCTGAAGTGAAATAATAAAAGAGAAGTTAAATAATAAAGAGAAAATAAATAAAAGATAAATTTAAGTGATTACTAGATGCACTTTTGGAAGGAAGTTATTTAAAGTACTGATACTAAATGATGCTTGGTCTGTTGTTACACCAAGAGGTTAATTGTGTGTCCATTGTTACCAAAGCCTCCCTCTCCCTTTCCGTGGTGCTAACCTGGGTCTGGAAGGCCACATTAGGAGATATTCTTGTCTCATGTTTTGCCCTGGGGTCTCCTAAAAACAGTATTTGCAAACCTGATCTCTGTGAGGCAGGGTCTGACATGGGTCTAATCAGCACTGCTGGTAAGTTGTGAGTGATTAGGGTGTCTCTCAAAGACAAGGAGAATTTCTGTGCTTTGACGAATTTTCATCTAAGCGATTAAAAGTATTTCTAAAGAATACGACTTGGCGAATTTAATGTGAATTGTCTGGAAGTAATGAAGAGGAAGGAGAAGGAGGAAAAGATGAAGGTGACTTACAAGACAGTTGGAGAGGGACTTTGGACAAGGGCCTGGAGTGACAGGACAAGGGGAAATGGTTCCACACTGGTAGAGAGCAGGATTAGCTGGGAAGAAATTCTTGGGAAGAAATTCTTCCCCGTAAGGGTGCTGAGTCTATTGCCCAGAGAAGCTGTGGCTGCCCCATCCCTGAAAATGTCCAAGGCCAGGAGGACAGGAGCAACCTGGGATAGTGGAAGGTGTCCCTGCCCATGATAGGGGGTGGAACTGGATGAGCTTTAAGATTCCTTCCAACCCAAACCAGTCTGGGATTCAATAATGACCTAATTGTGCTTTTTCCATTTCCATCACCTTGTTCCTGGAACTGAAGCTGCCAATGACCTCACTCAGTGAGAAAAATGAGCTGACACCACTGCACAAGGAGTAGATACTGGTCCTTATCTCTTGTAGCTTTCTTCTTTCTCTCCCCTTGTATTTATTTGTGGAGTGCTGCTACAGGTGTTCTTCCATTCACAAGTTACTCTCATCTCCTTCGTTTTGACTTTCTTTTCCATAAAATGCTTTCTCTTTTAACATTTCAACTTCCTACACAGCATAGAGATGTAACTAGAGACTGGAGGCTTCAGGGTATGTGAGCTGAAAATGTGAGTACATTATTTTGCTGCAGGAGTTTGTCAGTACAACACAACTGTACAAATATCGATGCTGTGGCAAACTAGTGTTAGAGCAGTGAGAACACAGCTCAAACACAGCAATGCATGAACTGCAGGGAAGAGTTATCCAGCTCCAGAATTAGCCTGTTAGTATTTTTTTTCCCTAGAGATAGCAGAAGAAAAAAATGTTGTTTACTAATTTCTGGCTGAAAATGTTTTCATAGCTTGTGCCAAAATGAAAGGATGCATGTTATGTTTTCCTCATACTAATGACATTACAAACCAGCTATTTCTAAAAAATACTAGTCCCATTAAATCAGAGATGCTGAACTTTATTGTTTATTTTAAGTGGGTGGGGGATGTTGGACTGGGGGTAGGTATTTGCTTGGTAACTGCCTCTAAATGAAGTGCAGTCTTTCATATTCTGTTTTCACAGCTCTGCTCTTAATTTCATATTTAAGAGCGAAGAAGGGCCCCTCTTTAGGAAAAAAAAACCCAAACCATGGAGCTACTGTTTACCATGTCATTCCTCTGCCATTAATAACTAAAATCAATAGTCAGTGAGTAGGTTTTTTTTCTGGCAATCAGTGATCTTCCTGTATGTCACAGTTGACATCCTCAGTTAGAGCTGCTGTTTGATCCATCATCCCTCTTCCTTCTGTACACACGTGACTTGCAGCTGCCAGTGGGATCATTTGCAGAAACCATTAAAACCTCTTTCCCTGGCAGTGGGGGGAAGGATAGTGGATGTAGTGGCATTAGCTTGGCAGCAGCTCCTTTGCTGGTGCGTGTCTTCTTCATTGCTTGCTGCCCTTGCAGCTGGCTTTTTGTCTTGTTGAATGTGACTGAATATTTTTCCATTAAAATGAATAATAAATTCTGTGTTAAATGAGAACGACTCCAGGCTGTTGAGTTTGGAACTGAACTCTTGTTTAGAATTGTTTATAAATGTTTCAACACTCTGTGTTATCACAATCCATACACAGTGCAGACACGCAAGCAATAAGTTGTACTTCAGACTGAGTCTGGATTTTAGCTGCAGTTGCTGATCAAGCAGAAGTGCTGTTTAGAAACAGCACTCACAGCTGGGAGATTTGAAGCACCTGCACCTCTGAGCATGTCCTGCTTGGGCTGTCCCCACTGTGTCTCCTCTCCTCTGCAGTGGGACAAGGCTCCCAGAAGGCACACACTGTCCTCCCTGCCTTCTTCCAGCTTCTCCAGCTCTAATTCCATGTGTCTGCTCTGTCCTCTGCAGCCCTTTCTGGCCTGAGCTCTGGTGCTTGCCTGCCTGTGGTGCCATGCCTGGGATGCCTCAGGGATTTAAGGATGCCTGCAGCAGTGTCTGCGTGGTGCAGGCAGTTTTCTCCCCCTTCAGCAGCAGCTTTACTCCAAGAGTTTACTTTCCAAGCCCTTCCTCTCCCTGTGTTCCTGACTCTGATAGTTCAGTCAGATAATCTTTTACCAGTTAAAGTGCAGGTTGTGTCCAAATTGATCAGTTTGCAGCCATGGCTCTGGCAAGGATAGAATTTCTGCTCATGGCCTATCTTGGGTGTCTGGGAATAGCTCTGTCACATGGCTTGGCATCCAGTGTGAAGTGTGGGAGATCCAGGTCGTAAATCCTTGCTTTGAGTTGAAGCAGGGCATGGGACATGAAGTTTTAGATCCCTGTCAGTGTGTGCATTAAGTATTGCATTGTTCCTTTTCTTCCTTTCACACAATTTGTTTTCTGTAATTTAGAAAAAGACACCCTATTTGTGTATTTTCAGTCCAATGAAGATATCCCTCATTTTCCCTTCTCGCCTAGGAAGATTAAAATACGTTGCACTACATAATTCTTAAACTCTTTGACCTCAAGTATTTGATGGCCTGTAACAATCTCAAAACATTATTCTGTGGAGGTGTAGCTGTTAAAGCAACCCGAAGCAATCACAGAGAGAGAGATGAAGATAGAGCAGCCCGTAAGTACCTCTGGAAAGCAGAAAGATTGCGAGTTCCTTTGCAACTGAGTTTGGAGGGTGAGTTGCAGGATGTGAATGCAGCATTGGGAACGTTCCTGGATCTTTTCCACAATCCTTTTAATGTGGTCACAGACTCCTGACTGGGTGAAAATAAATTTGAATTAACTTCAGTGAGTGTCGAAAACATGGAGACTTTAAATTTGTTTGGAAAATGCATCAGGGCGTGCTATGATTTTTTTTTTTGTCTGTACTAATTAGCGATGACACAGCATCAAGATGGCAAAAAATGAATCATTTGGATGTTCATGAAACAAAGTATTTTGAGTGTCACTAACTTGTGGCTTTTGGGAATTCTTGAAGTAACAGAATAAGGATCCAAGGAGTATATTTGATGAAACAGATTTATTTGAAGAGGATAGTTATTCTTAATCCAGTTTCTTTTCTGATTAAAGTAACAGCCAGACATCTCCTGTTGCTTCTTGAAGGCTCTCAGGTGTGTTAACAACATGTAATGGCTTTTATCATCAAAATAATCAGGCTGAATGATCTTTGAGCTAAACTATGGAGCAACTTGGCATTCATACAGGAAGTTAAATTTGAAGTGAGTAGCAACCACATATATCTGGGAGGTGAGCTAAAGCTGAGTGGTCAGGAATAGACATCCAAAGGTTGTGTCATTTATGAAAAAGTTGTAATCAGGGCATTTATTTTTTGAACTCAATAGAAACCCAGTAAGTTTTAGAACCTTTTCAAGGTCTAAACTCAAAAAGTTTTAAGACAGATTCTTGGCATGACTCAAAACTAAACAAAATTTTGCTTTTTTTGTACTTACCCAGTTGCACCTTAGTTTCTCCAATTCACAGATTCCATTTCAGCAACTTTCTGGACTTGTAAAATTTTGGTTTAATATCACAGAGTATCTAAATTATGCTATAGAATCATAGAATCACAGGATGATTTGGGTTGGAAGGGACCTTAAAGCCCATCCCATTCTACCCTGCCATGGGCAGGAACACCTTCCACTGTCCCAGGCTGCTCCAAGCCCCATCCAACCTGGCCTTGGACACTTCAGGGATGGGGCAGCCACAGCTTCTCTGGACAGCCTGTGCCAGGGCATCACCACCCTCGCAGGGAAGAATTTCAAGAGCAAAATATTATTTCTCTAAAATGGAATCATGTTATCTTTTAATTCAGCCTGTACATTCTTGACACTGAATGGAATTATTTTCTGTTCCAGAAAGACCCTATCAAGGACTTGTGTTTCTAGTGCAGGAGCTGATCTTAAGTGAGAAAACTTTGCACTTTTCAATTATTTAAGAAGCTGGTGGAGGTTTTTCAAGCAGTCTTATCCTCCTATGGAAGTTTGATTTGTGACCCTTGTGTGCTTTTTAGTTTTGATATTCTCTACCTATGTTAATGTACTGAGGTCAGAGGTGATCACTGGGATTGCTTTGCAGGACAGAGATGCTCACTGCCTGTCACACTGGATACAACATTATTCCTGGGAAAACTTTCTTCCCATTCATCATGGTCTGGTATCTGTGGGTGGTGTGGAGATTGGGGAAAAGTAGTTTTGAGAATATGCCATGCTAACATCAGCTGAAATCAGACTGAGCTTTGGAGGTGGAAACAAGGAATAGAGGCTGGCCCAGATGTTATGACCAGCCTTTTCTGAGAGTCTTCTTGCTTTCTGGACCATCGTCTCTCTGCAGAGAACAGTGATGGAAACTCCTTATAAATGATCTATCTTGGTAGAAGAGTTTTTTAGGAGTTTGGGACTGATGTGTAGCTTTTCAGAAAGCCACATGATCTCCAACTTGGTTTCTGCACTCACAGAGCTCTTTGTTTCCTTCCTATGCTTCTAATTAACAAATCTTACATTTTAAATCTTTAATTTTAAACATTTTAAAATCTTAAACGGCTTATTTTAGAAAACAGAGCATATTTCAGGCAAATATTTTTTTGATAAAGTTGTTGACTTTGAAACTGCTCTGACATTGAGCAGCTGATGGGGAACAGAGACACCCCAGGTTATTGATCTGAAACTTGTGCCTCCATGAACTCTTCATGGGAAACTTTGCTTATGATCAGTCTCTGCTGGGGGAAGGGCTCATTTCTCCAGATTGTAAATGAGAGAGAAGAGCTGACTGGATGATCAGAACAATGAGTTTAAAAAAAAAACGTAGTTTTTTCCTAAATATCAGGATTTTAATTGCATTAAAATAACGACATGACCATGCATGAGCTCTAATATCTGGGCTTCTAAACATATTTTTATTAGAACTTGCCAGAATCATGGAAGAAGGTTGGCTACTTCTTTGATCTTCCGGATTTCTTATCTTGGAAAGCCACAGGTGTCACTGCAAGGTATGTTAATTATAACAGTATGATTTTGTCTATTTTCTTATGTATATTTCTGCTTTAATTCATTCTGACTGGACCTGCTGCTATGTACATCTGTCTGTAATTCAGCCAGCCTCAAAACATCTTGAACCTATCTCCTGTCTCCATTGTGCATTCCTGAACACAGTTGTTCCCGTGAGCAGTGGAATTCACAGATACAGTGTGTTGCTGCAAAATATCATTTTGGAGCATAAATATGATTGCTGGAGTTCCTGTGAAATACACTTCCAATAATTCTTTGAATAATTCTTTGAAATAAAATTCTTTGAAAACAAAACTCTCTGAGAGAACCCTTTAAAAATCTGGATTAAAATGACCAACGCAGGTGAAGGGCTTTTGTTGATCCTTGTGAGAAGTGAGGGCCAGTATTATTTATTTAAAATCATGCCCAGTTCAGTGCAGCTCACAGTTATTTCCATTGCAGTCTGTGGAGTGGAATCTGTGCAAAATGTATTCTCAGATAAAAACTGGCCACAGGATAGTTTTAGTCTCTCTGGAAATGAAGATACCTTCCCATCAGATACAGTTCTTTTTATTTGTGTGTTCTGTTTCTCCCTAGTTAGGATTCCTGCCTGACAGCTATTGTTAGAGCATTATATATGTATTCCTTGCATTATACAGTAGGGAGGTGCTATGACTGACTTAAAGAAAGCAAAAAGAGGAGTAGTGCAAGGACTTGCCAGATGATAATTGATAAATGGCATCTTAAATCTTCTTCCTTTGGACTTTCAGTCAGATTTTGCTGTCTAACTCTGAATTATGTAACAGAAGAACAACTCCCACCCCACAGATCTTGCAATATAAACAGTCCTGTCACCTGGCCCAACTCTACCTTCAAGAGGATAAATCCCAGGCTCCCAGATGATATTCAAGGGTCTGCATCTTGTGAAAGTACTCAAGACTTTGATTTAGCATTAGCACCCTTTGGTCAGGGCATGAGGTGGGGGAGGCTCTGAAAAGGGAGGGCACATTGATCCTGACAGCTCCATGATCCTGCCTGGCTTTGGCTTTGTGTCCTTGGTTGCAATTTCCTGGAGGTGAAGCAGAGAATCTCTCTAAAAAAAAAAAAGAGTTGCAGAGGATTGTACTCAAAAGTCAAATTTACACTGACAAGTTAATTTCGTTAGCAAGATGATTTTCAGCAAATATGATTGCTGAAAATCTTTTCATTTCATTGATGAATGTTGTAAGGGAGTATGTTGGGAAAAGACTCTCTGGGTAAAGTCTTCCCTCACACTTTGATTGAGTGTCTTCTATTTTGAATAAAACAGCTCCTTGTACATCACTGCTGTCTTTAATGTGCTCCCCAAAATCAAGCCCATTGTTTTGGCTCTAATAGATTGTCTTGTAGGGTAACAAAGAAGGAAGAAAAAGACAGGAAAATAAGGACAAGAAACATTTTTCTGGAATCAAACCTTATTTTTTTTCCTTTCCCTGCTTTACTCCATGTACACCTGTTTTCTGAGAATTTTCTTGTAGGTAGAAGTCAAGTAATTTGTCCTGCATATGCTCATAATACAGAGAAAGTGTGAATTTATCAAGTATGAGATTATTACATCTTACCACCCTTACTGCCTTTGAGCACAAAGAAGTCTATTCACAGGGCAAGACAGTGTTAGTCACTGTGAATCATACAGAACTTGGCCCTGATAAAAGGATTTGTTTTTTTAAAATTTGTTTTGGTGATGGAGATTTTACCAAAATAAATTCAATTCTGAAGGCACTTTTATAGCAAAGACCTTGCTTCTTTAAATTTTTAAGGGTCTCTCTAAAACATTTTGTATGCATTTGACATTTAGAAACTATGTAAAGTCTTTTTGCCTTCAGCGAGGTCACTGTGCACAAAGTTAAGTAGTGTGTGAGATCAGAGTTTGACGTATTTGAAAAGCAGTTCTTGATGTATGTTTCTAAGTATGAAATCCTTTGTCTTTCACCTTTCATTCTACTGGCTTGAACTGCTTTGTTACCAAGTTGTTTTTCCAGTGGACCTGTAATAAACATTAAGTGTTTCTTGCCTCTGAGATGGAGACTCAAAACATCTTCTAGGGTTTTTTACCTCCTGGCTTTGAAATTGCTCTGTGTCTCACTGAACTACATCATTTGCAAAGGATGAGTTCCAAATTTTTGATTCCCATTGTTCTTGGAAAGCTGTTGTCTGTAATGCTCCATATTTAATATAATTATGTTTTATTATTTCTGCTTTGGGCTGATGAGTGACCATTGACTCGTCCTGAACATCCAGGCAGCTGACTATTCTGCATTTAAAAAAAAAATGTTACTGACAGCTCTTTAGTTACAAATTTTAAATCTTCACCTTCTCAGCTTTGCCCCCCCAAGGCTGCAACAAGGCTGAGTGTTGGTTTTGCCACTTGAATACTCAGTTGTCTTCTGTCAGAAATGCTGTGGTGGAGAGGAAGAGCTGTGACAGACACTTAGCAGTGCTTTTCAGAGGCTCAGCACTGTGACTCACTGCTCTCCCTCCCCCATCCAGAACCTCTGGTAACCTTTCCTTTATATGGTGCTTTGGTACAGCTATCTTAATAAAATCTAAACTCCTCTCTGGTTTAGTTACAGGCTACTGTGTTATGGATGGGGAATTCTTAGCAGAGATGCACATCTGCAATCTAGTGTGTTTCTGGAGGCTTGTGAGGGATTACATTGCAGATAAGAATAGGGCTGAGCTGTTAAACTGGGTGGAATCCTCACACAAATTTCTCAAAGGTCACATGTGCTTAGACCCAGAATTCTGCTTCAGGGTCATTTCCAATCATAGGCAACTCACTCACTGCAAAATGAACCAGTGTGTACTGGAATTTAAGATGAATTCTAGCAAAAGAGAGATTAGACCTGTGAAGAAGGATTTGGAAATGTAAGAAATAATGTCAGGCTGACATTATGGAGATAGAGGGTGTCCAGCATTGTGCTACAAGCCACCTCCAAAAATGACCAAAAAAAGTTGGAACAAATTGAATCTTTATGCAGATTATTTTTTTTCCCAGATTATTATACTCTAGACATATTAATATCCGTGGAAAGTAATGTGCTGTCTAGTAGAGACTTCATCTTATCTGTGAATTTGACCCAAATAATTTTCTTGTGAAAATACTTGTCCAGTCAGTCTTCAGCTGCTTGCCATCATGACATGGGAAAGGGTGGAACAGATGTTTCATATACTTCACTTTTCTAAATGATCTCCTTCCAGCAGATCTCGGGATCACGAGTTTCTCAGTTTTATAAGAAAGAAATTCATACTGTTTATGGTAGTGATGGACTGCAAAGTGAAAAGCAAATGTTTGTAGCTGATAAAAAGCATTTCTGGGAAGCACATGACTAATATTTGTCTGTATCTCTGTGTGAGGGGGTTCTCTCTGTAGTATGCAGTCTATTTTCAACAGGAAGATACTTGACAAATTGTTTTCTTTCAACAATGGCTTGTGCATGTTTGAGTAGCTGGCTCTTTATGTTAAGCAGTGATTGAGTCCTTGCAGTTTATTTGTAACCTGTTTTTAGTAGCTGATCATTAGGGCTCGAGATGGCTCCGTTGCAGTGATTCACTTCCAGAGAACTCCCTGCACATTGTCAGAGTTGATATAGAGCCCACTGGGACGAGCAGGAGTCTTGAGCTGTAGTGAGGGAAGCTTGTAATAAAACAATAAAACCAGAGAGGTGCTCTAGAATCCAGGATTCAGATCTCTGCTCTGTGATTTGGAGAAGTGAATTAAATCTGGAGGTGTTCAGGCAGCTGAATGCATGTGAGGATTTGATGTTTGTTCATCCCTGTGTTTGTTCTTCATCTGTTAACTGATGCATCCACACACTCTTGGGAGGCTGCTGACTTTTACCTTTTTGAGGTCTCTCGTGGCTGTGTCAGTGGAGCCCTCACCAAATATTGTATCCAGAATAGGCTGGAAACTTTGAGGAGGGAGAGTGCTTTTAGAAGAGGAGCTTATGTTTAGAGGTACTGTTGAAAAAACAAACCAGTGTGAGTTTAGTGATTATCTGAAGGATGTCTGTGTCTTTTTTAAGGATTGGGCAATCCTTTCAGAGAGATGTGGTAACTGCAGCAGCACAGACACAACTTTTTTGGGCCAGCTGCCCTTCCCTTCCTTCCTAGCCCTGCCATGACTAATGGATACCCTTTGGCTGGGATCTGGCGCTTGGCTTCTTGTTGACATTTTGTGCCTACTTCAAAAGATGCCCGGTCTAAAAATCAGGCCTTGTCTCTGGAAAGAAGGGGCCTAGGGAATATTGCAGAAAGCTGTTGTGATTAGTGCTGAGCCCATGGGGCAGTGACAGTATCCTGAATTGCACTCGGCTGTTGTGTCCTGTTTATGAAATGAAACCCAAGAGTTCAGACTTGCAGACTTGTTTAGAGAAGTCTCTGGAGGAGAAAAAATTATCTTGAAAGGCTGGTTGGGAGGGGAGGGATGGTGTTTTTGTGGATTGGACAAAGTACCATGAATTTCTTGTCATGGAGCCAAAAGCAAGTGTCTCTGTGATGGTATGTTTGCCAAATGAGAGAATTCTACTGCTATCAGGCTTTTCATAAATTCAAAACATGTTCTTTGGAGACTGGTGACACACAGACTGATCCAGAAAATAGGAAATGTGTAGCTAGAAAACTTATCAGGAATGTGAAGGGCAGGTGCAATGTGGGCCATTACTGTTAGATATTTTTTTTTTAATTTAAAAATGCTATGTCCTTGAGTCTACTGAGTAATCTGAAAGAGTTCTGTGTGCTGAAGAAGAAAATTGTCAGCAGGTCTCGTTAATGTTAGCCAGGAAGCACACAGGCAAACAGGAAGCTTTAACTATTGTTATTGTACAAGTGCCCTTTACAAAATATTAGCAAAAGAAGCTTAATGTGTTTTCCACAAGAACAGGAACCCTTCAGAGTGTCTCACTGTATCTGCCCAGTGAAGAAAAACTGCACTGTCTCCTTTCAACAGCTTCAGACATACATT